CATAGGTAGCTCTGATGGTGGCGGCAGAATTCTGGGAGCAGGGAGACCTCGAGAGGACAGTTCTTGACCAACAGCCTATTGTAAGAGAAACTTAATCTATCGTAATGATGTCTGCATCTATATGTTGTCGTAATAAAAACAATAATAATCATCTCCTCTTCTTCCTTCAGCCCATGATGGACAGAAATCATTCTGCCGAGCTTCCCAAGATGCAGTGTGGTTTCATCGATTTTGTCTGCTCCTTTGTGTACAAGGTACCATATATACAACTAAAGCATATTTGGCTTACAAACAAACGTGTGTGTATTTGTTTGTGTTTATACTTGCTGCTGCTTTTCTCACACAACCCCCTTATCCTTTGTATATCTGCTTGTTTGCAGGAGTTTTCTCGATTCCACACAGAGATCACACCCATGTTTGACGGGCTGAATAACAACAGGGGCGAGTGGAGAGCTCTCGCCGACGTCCATGAGGCCAAGATGAAGGCCATCGAAGATGAGAAGAAAAAGCTGGAGGGCGGAGGCGATCAAGGTGAGCGCTGGGGTTTGAAAACCAACATGTTGCCACACCCCAGAAGCTCAGTCGGTATTTACGTTGCCACTCATTGTCTTTCTTGTTCTTTTCACAGATCAAGATGGTGGGAAGTCAAAGACATGTGCGATCTGCTAGACATCCAGACCACGCAAAGTATTTATGGATGTTTTTCTGCATGTGTATTTGTACAGTGTGTATGTGCATGAGCACGTGGTCACAGATGAGGGAATTATAATGTGCAAAAATCCTCAAATCATTATTTTTGTATCCTGCAATGTATATTTCTTCTACTCTCTGACACAGAAAGCAGCACAACTGAGTCACATACAGTGACAGTATGAAAACAGTAATTCTTGTAAATACAAAAATCTCCAATGAGCTGAACTTTCCATCATTACAAAGAGTGAATGTTTTATTTTCTTGTGAATATTTATATGAAATATAATTTAAGAATATGTATGTGAATAGAAATATTAGGTTGCAGTTACAATGCAGTTTCAACAATCAGAATATTTTTGGAATATAAACTACAATAAATCTTTTCTTTTGTTGTAGCGAAAAAAGATTAATAAATAAAATGAGTAGTTCCCTTTTTTAAACTTGTAAGTACCACCAGGAAAAATTTCAAGCATACGTCCCTGTCAAATGGGTGGAAGATGTAAGAAGATTTGACAGAATTGGATTTAATTATAAGCCACAAGGCTTTCCCTTTTAAGTCGCCTGCTTACATAAAGTAAAAGCACTGCTCATAAGTCAGCGTGTCCAGAATACATGTGGCACTGCACTGGTAGGAAGGGGTCAGCCGGAAACACTGTGCAGCACAAGTCAGCATGTATAGGAGAAACGACTTGTTTGACTGTGAAACAATAAGAAGATCCCATCCCACACTCTACACAGAGTCTGTGACAGGACTATGTCATATCCTGTTTTATTCTGGTGTTTGTTTGCGTAAGACCTTGCAAAGAAATTTGACTCTGTCGTGCAAATATAGCTTTAAAAAATAAAATGTTCAATAGCAACGAGTGTAAGACATGAACGCAAAAATGTCAATAAAGTTTTCAAATCATGTCTGCTTTGTGCCTGTTGGTTGCATTTTACACATTCTGAGGTAAAACAGTCATGTTTTCCTTCCTCTCACTCGCAGCCTAATTGACTTCAGGACTAACCTACACATGTGTTGGTGTAAATGTTGCTCACCTCTGAGATCAGCTCAGGAGGGGTTTAGCCGAGCAGGGCTGACCAAACATCACCTCCTAATCAACCACTAACAAGCTTACAAGAGACCTGCATTACTGAAATGTTCAAGTGTGCATGTATCAGCTTGTAAAGCAGTTTGGAACAACACAGTTAGACTATGAAAAATATGTGTATTATATTTTCTGTTTTTTAATATCTGTGTTTTTATCTTAATATTAATTTTTATTTAAAAAAAACGCTATGTAAATAAAGATATCATTATATTTAAAAGGAAAAAAATGTACTCCTCGGTGATATGAGGGAAAGATATTAATCAAATTTTATTTATTTACTTTTTATTCATCCTTTATTTAACCAGGAAGGTCCAATTGGGAGACAATATATTAAGATTGCAATTTTAAATTCTTAATTTGTCACATATACAAATTAGTAGTAATAATAAATTAATACATTGTGTTACTATGAATATAATGAAATACTTAGGAACAGGAAGTCAATGGATGAGAAACTAGGGTTCACCATCATTAAATCCAGACAATGTCACTTCCATAAATAATGTATGTCCCACTGCATGATAGAGCAAAGAGGCAAACATATGATGACATATGTAGATTAAATCTTTTTTTTTTTTTTACTTTCAGTTTTTGTGCTTCTCAGTTAAAGACAATTTCTCAGTTGTTCCCTGCAGTGGAAGGTAAGTATCACAATAGCATCATGTGCATCACGTTGTGTCACTGCCATTTCGTTTTGGTATGATTGGCTCAGGCAGGTGACTGACAGGTGGCGTGCAAACTTATTTTGTTCATACAAGAACCAAAGAGCATCTCAGTTACAAAAGCCCGGCGGCCATGTCACAGGGGTATAAGCCAGCTTTGTGGACTGACAGGGCACCTTAAGACAAAAGCTCGGTCCAGAGGTCAAAGGGTAAAAACAAGAGTGTGGTCACTGAGGGCCTGATTTCTCTTGAGGCCAGAGCAGCAGGAGGGTCACCATACCATTGTTTTTGTGTTGTATGACATGAATGTTGATTTCTATTTTGATCAAATTAAAATATTCACAAAGAGAAAACAAGAGAAAAAAAATCTTTGGAGCCTCCAATCAGGATTTCAATTATAGATTTAAAGGGGAAAAGTCTCAATGACAGAATAAATAATGGTTTGTTTCACAAATTAAAACATTTCAAGAGGAAATTCACACAGAAGAAGTTAAAAAAATCTGACAGCTCATAAAACAAGCTCTGCCTTACAGTAGCTCTACACTGCCTCCTAGTGGAAAGATCAGGCTGTAAAAGAACGACCAACACAGCAAATAATCAGAAAGTGGAGCCAGAAGTCTTTTTGGTTAAAAAAGACACTTATAACGAAGCCGAGCGCATTGAAAATGTTCATATATTGTTTATTGTTTATAGAAAATAAAGAAAAAAGATGCAGAAAGTTCTTTCAAATGTCAGAAACACCATGTCAGCTGTGGCCAAATACTTGCTGGACAGTGTGTGTTCTATTCTGCTTATGAATGATGGCATTTATGAGGCACAGACACGACCCATCATCTTGCCGACCAACAATAATATCCAGTGTTCTCCATTTATACTGAGAGCTGCCTGAGAAAAACAAGACTTCTCCTTCCCGTCCAAAAATCTCCATATCCACATTTTGCCTCCGTGTTTTCGCTCTTCACATTATCTCTCTCACTGCAGGTGAAAGCTTTACTCTTCCATCCCTCCCTTTACCACAGCTTCCACATCATGACCCTGCTCCTCCTGATGCTTTCATTTAACACAGACAATATGAAATGGTGTAGCTAATCTAATCAGGGACAGGGAGACCGCAGGGAGCGAGAGCATATTTATTCAGGGGCCTTTTAAAAAAGCTTTCTGCACATGTTTCTTCCCAGAAGGCGTCTGACGCATGCATGCAGGCCTGCCAGGCACAGCGAGTAAACATATTAATCTTACAACTCTGCAGGGATCAAAGAAATTAGACTGTGAAGAAAACCTTATAGGGCTCCCTGGAGACTGCAATAAAACTGTGAGGGCAATATTTTAAAGCAATAAAAAGTAAAAATAGAAAAGAGCATGGCCTTATCTGATGAGGCTGTGTGGGGTGAAGTAAACATGATGTCAGGCAGGAGAGCAGGGGAGCAGTGTTGTTAACCTGTCCTTTGTCTGTGAGGGGGTATACTGGGGGGGGGATGGGGGTTTTATTTGAACAAGCAGATGTCAGGGTGACAGAGGGCTTCCCCACACCCCTCCATCACATCTCTGCATCCTCCAGTCGCCATGGAAACCGTGCACAAACCAGGAAATAAACCGCAAATGTGCCAAATCACGAGGACATATTTAATGGCTTTAATAAAGCTCCACTCAGGTTGGAATGCTGCTGTGAACCCCAGAGCCAGTGTTGCAGCTGTATTTTCATCAAAACTATAATTTTCTTCCCCTCCGCGGGTTTCCCACACCCGCTGCTCCCCGCATAGAAAGCCCGTGTGCGTCTGCGCCGCGTAAACGCAGCGAACAATCCGCTGGCTCATGTCCCCGCTTTTTTTTTTTCTACTCCAGCAGCTGATTCACGAAAAATTACACAATTCCGTTGTGTGTGTTGGGCGGGATCCTTCCACTGAGCTTGGCGGGGAGAGTGCGTCGCTCGCTGAAAAATCACAGGCCCCTATAGGCGTGGTTTTGGATGGAGATGCTCCGTCTGCTCCCGCTGGGATACCCACCTGCCAGCTGGTGTTTTCTCGAGCTTGCGCAACCACAGGCGCGCGTTTGATTAGATTTAACATTTGGATCGAGGTGTGTAGGTTTTTGCTCTAAGGGGGGTGCAGTGTGGAGTAGTTGCGGCGCTGTGGACGCACGGGGCGCACGGTTTAATCACCTCCAGGGAGACGGCGGTGGCGCACGGCGCGTGGACACAAACACGAGCGGACAGCGCGTCGCGTCGCTTTGGCCTCCAGGCACCAAGAGAAGCAGCAGAGACAGCGGCAGCAGCAGCGGCGGTGCTGGTGGTGCTGGTGGAAGAAGGAACCAGAGTCGAGACCCTTGGTTCATGCGCACGGCTGTCGTTCGTGCCCGCAGCGCTCCGCAAGGATGGAAAACACACGCAGGATGCGCAGGAGATCGCCCGTGCTCGGTTTGCTGGTGCTGGCGTGTGTTTTACTCGTAGTGGACAGTAAGAAACCCAAGCAGCCGCGCTGTCCCTCATCATGCACATGCACCAAAGATAACGCGTTGTGCGAGAGCGCAGGACTGATCCCTCGCAGCTTTCCCCTCGATGTCATATCACTGTAAGTCACATTTATCACTGGTTTATTCCTCATGTCCACTGTTTGTGCAGTCTGCAAAACATGCTCTTCTCCGAGACGTGGATATATCTCTGCTGCTGCTCAGAATCGTGCATGTCCAACTGAGCACTATGCTGGCCATACAGGATCTTTTTCTCTTTCCCTCCACAGATCATTCGTCAAGTCTGAATACACCGAGATCCCGAAAGAGAGCTTCATACACACGCCTGCCCTGCACCTCCTGTGAGAAACCTCTCCTGCTCCAGCTTTTTGTCCCTCAGTCTTTGTTGCATGCTGTCAGTCCCCTCCAGTGAGGTGATCAACGCCATTTTTAACGTTTCAATTCATCTCCTCTCCCCACTTCCTCCACTGATCATGCACACTGTGATAGATTGGATGTTGCTCTAGCTGTTGAAATTGTCAGAATCTCCATTTTCATGTGTGTTTCTCTACGTCTTTGCTGTGAATCCTACATCTCCTCTCATCAGAATGAGCTTTATCTATGGGGGGAATCCCTTCATTTCAAGGGGGAATCCCCTCCACTCCTGTCTCATGGGGGAGAGTATTGACTGAGCCACCATGTCCTTCAAAACAAACATGTGAGACTGCAGGAATCCTCATGGAGCATTGATCCTTGTCTCTGATGTATTGGAGGGGGTGTGTGACTCTGAGGAACAAAGACAAGGGGTTTCCTTCCTTCCATCATGGTAGCTTCAAATGTGGGACAACAGCTTGTTATCCGCCCATTTCTGACCCTAAATAATAAAATATTAACAAGCATCTCTCTACAGCCTCTTTACAGCCAACAACCTGGAATCAATAAACGAGGACGCCTTCCTCGGTCTTCCTCATCTGGAGTATCTGTGAGTAATCGTCACAAACTCATCCTGGAAGCCGTTTGTCTCCTTCCTTCTTATTTGCGTTCACTCAACACCTTTTTCACAGGTTCATCGAAAACAACCAGATCAAGTCGATATCGCCACACGCTTTCCGAGGACTGAAAACCTTAGTGCACCTGTAAGTATGCGTCTATAACTTCCTGCACAAAAAAAATTACACGTATACGTCAGCAGAATAGCACTAAACAAAAATACAAAGAACCTTTCTGTTGCTTGTGTCAGTAGAAAGTGTTGTTATCCAGGTGCAGGAGCAGAAAGGTGCTGTTCCAATGAAATGCTGACAAAGTTTATTACACAACATTTAAAGCCACATAGACATTTCTCTCGACAGCGTGCAGCTGTTAATATGATTATCAAGCAAAAACAAGTTTATATGCCGAAGGCCTCTTAAATACACATTTGGTTGCAGATGGAATCGTCTTTATTTCTAATAGAGAACTAAGATTGTTAAGTTGTCAACCAAAGACACGACGACAACCATCCCAACAACGGAATCCACCTCTTTCCCCTCATTTCTGTTGCTGTGAAAGTCATAAAATGGCTGAGGAGGCAGCTCTAAAAATAGCTTAATGTTTCCTCAAACTCACAATAAGCAATGTTCCTGCCTCCAGCCTCCAGGGTGGAATTATGTTCCCAGGTTCTTTTGCACATATTCATATATTCCGCTGCAAAGCAACACTGCATTATCCACATCCACACTCTGTGAGGCACTGCAGGTTCTTCTCTAGAAAAAACTGCAGGATAAGTGTATAGCTGTGATTTAGAGAAACAGAATCGAGGGACGTAATGATCAGATGCTATTGTTCTCTTTTCTTGCAGGAGTCTGGCTTACAACAATCTGGACACTCTGCCTAAAGATTTGTTCAAGGGTCTTGAGGCCTTGACAAAAGTGTAAGTGTGAATTCTCAATCCTGCGCTACCTGGAAACAAAGAAATAACTGTATATATAGTGTAAAAGCATAAGATGGACAAGTAGTTTTCTGTACAGGCTCTAAATATAGAAAACTGTATCATTATTCTACTTCAGCCAAGGCTTGAAAAATGTGTGGGCAGCTGGTGCTTTTAACACCATTAAAATTACATGAGGCAGCGAGGAGGAGAGAGAGTTCGCCATCTATCAGCGACTGAAGACGTTTCTCCTTTATAGCTCCTCTCGATATTAATGAGAGCACAGGAAGAAGCTGCGAGGGTCACAGAGCAGACCCTGCACTCGTACCACAGCTCCGTGTAAAATCCATTCTCAAAGCTGAGAGCTGTCTGAGGTCAGTTTTTGTCTGGCTCTCTCCCCTCAGAGACCTGCGGGGGAACCAGTTCACCTGTGACTGTAAGCTCAAGTGGCTGGTGGAGTGGATTTACAGCACCAACGCCACAGTGGATCAGATTTACTGCAAAGGCCCGGCCTCACTGCTGGACAAGAAGATCAACGACCTGGTGCCGCAGTCGTTCGACTGCATCACCACAGGTGCAGCACAGAAAATACACTGTTTCCTTCAATAATCGCATCTTCTCCTGACTTTGTAATGTTATTTGAAGTGTGTTTTCATTTCTCTCGCAGAGTTTGCCTCCTACCAGTCCCTGAAGTTTGAGTCCATATCGGTGGAGGCCTTTTCCTTTGGGAACGATCAGTATGTGGTGTTCGCTCAGCCCTTTATTGGGAAATGCAGCTTTCTGGAGTGGGACCATGTGGAGATGGTCTTCAGGAACTACGATGACATTGACAGTAAGTTTGAATTGCTTGTATATACATTTTTACATATACCAGTGCAGTGCCCATTTAAAACTAGCCTGTAAGCTTGTCCTGTGTTAATGCTCTGGAGTGGAGTTAGAAACGTTTGTGTTCATCCTACCTGGTTTATCTGCAGTAAGGATTTTATAGTCAGTTTTTCATAAAATGAAACTGAATTTGCTTAATTACTGTTCGTGTGTGGTTTGTATGTAAGATTGAATGATGAACTAAACTGGTGTTATTTTTCATACATTCAAGGTCTCTTGAATCTAAAGATCTTGAATCTTTAAGGAACCACATGGAGACTCGTATCCAAGTGCAGCTGTATTGTTTGTGTCCTTCTTTCTCCTCACCAGGCACTTCCACTGTGATCTGCAAACCTCTGGTTATCGACAACCAGCTCTTTGTCATCGTGGCCCAACTTTTCGGCGGCTCACACATCTACAAACGCGACACCTCCGCCAACAAATTCATCAAGCTCCAAGGCATTGACATCCTGAGAATCCGCAAACCCAACGACGTTGAGACTTTTCGCATCGATGGAGAATCTTTCTTCGTCATAGCCGACAGCTCCAAGGCCGGTTCTACCACCATCTACAAGTGGAACGGCAACGGCTTCTACTCCCACCAGTCACTCCATCCGTGGTACCGGGACACTGACGTGGAGTTCATGGAGATCTCCTCCAAACCTCACCTGATCCTGTCCAGCAGCTCCCAGAGGCCCGTCATCTACCAGTGGAACAAAAGCACCAAGCTGTTTGACAGGCGCACGGACATCCCGGAGATGGAGGATGTCTATGCCGTGAAGCACTTCCAGGTCAAGTCTGACCTCTTCATCTGCCTGACGCGCTTCATCGGTGACTCCAAGGTCATGCGCTGGGACGGGGCCCTCTTCAGAGAGCTGCAGACCATGCCCTCTCGCGGCTCCATGGTGTTCCAGCCCTTCTCTGTGGGCAGCTGGCAGTACGCCATTCTGGGCAGTGATTACTCGTTCACGCAGGTGTACCGCTGGGACACCAAGAAGGGCATGTTTGTCCATTTCCAGGAGCTGAACATCCAGGCGCCAAGAGCCTTCTCTCCAGTCTCCATAGACAACCGGCAGTTCCTGCTGGCCTCCAGTTTCAAAGGGAAAACTCAGATCTACGAGCACCTGGTTATTGATCTGAGCAATTGAGTGATTGTTTTTTTTCTGGCTCATTGATAGATTATCGGTAACTTTAGTGTTTTTTTGTGTTTAAAGAAGACTGTTGCAGCAGATGCAGCTCTGAAAATCACTGAAAGTAATTATCAGTTGATCCTAACTTGAGAAAGGCAGGCATTACTCTTATTCTCTTTAAAAATCTTCCACTGAAATCAGTGCATGGTAAATATAAACGCATGTATCTCAACCAAATGTATTTGGCTGAGATGCATGTTGAGTTCAATGCATGGATCTCAAGTTAGGATTAAAACCCAAGACATCAATGCATGACCAGGGCCTCACTCAGGCCATCCCATCAGATTACAAATGCAACATCCATCCTCATTCATCTTTTCAATTCCACCGTCGGCCAGTAGCTTATTTTGTTTATGTTGGAACATCCATGTGACGCAACAAAGTTTATACATTTGTAATCTCATATTTATCTACAGAGAGTAATAATGAAATGGTACTTTTTAACCGATTAACATGTTCAACTGAACAAATCTGCCAAAACTAAATGTTTACATTTTTCTCTCTTTCCACTTGTTCGCTAAAATATTTGTAAAAAATAAAGCTTTTGTAAGTTTGAGAGGGACCACACCAGTTAGATAAATATTTGTTAAAGAGAATGATTTAAAATTTATCTTCATAATTTGGAGAATTTCAACAGAGACGTACTGAGAATGACATTTTTATCATTAACGCTTTGTATAATGTAGTATTGAAAAGTATTGAAAAATGCTGTTTTCCCAGAAGAAAGTTTCGGGGAAACTTGGAACTATTCTCACACACTTAAAAGGGACTGAAATGAAAAACAGAGGATATTGTTCATAACGCTTTACCTTCGACTAACATGTATGCAAAATGCATTTATTGTGTCATGATTAGGATTAGGTTATTGACTAATATCATGTCATTTAGAGTCAATAAAGGTTTACATCACTAACTGTTGCTGGCACCGTGTAGCATGACGTGGCATCAGCGTGAAACGACAACACACAAGAGCAACATACACGAGTAACACATCTACTTCACAGGACATTGCAGCCATCAAGTTAGTGGTGTAGATATGATACATACATGAGAAACCAAACAAAATAAATACAAACAAATAAAATCTTTTTTATTTTCTCCAACAAAGTGCACGCCTCAATTCTACAAAGCAGCACATTACAATGTAATGGAATAAATACAATAAATTCCGCTGAATTTAAAAAAAAAGGAAAAGAAAAGAAAACCACAAGCAAGGAGATACACAAGTACCTGCACAATCACACTGGTGGCAGGATTAAATCGGACTATTTAGAAAACCTCTGCTTCTTTCAGATGATTGTTTGACTTTTCATGCATCTTCGCTCCTTTGGATAAAGGTGTCCCATCCTTTATATTTCTAAAGTAAACCGATTTAAACCCTACGTTTTGCTTGTAATTGAGAACTACCAAACTAACATGAAAGAAACACAGGTGCATACTCTCATGTTCATACACGTCACCCTGGAAAACTTGTGCAATAGCAGCAGGCACCTCCGAATCACCGACCTGCTGCTGAGAGAAAATAAAGTGAACACATTTCTCAGTTTGAACTGAACTTACTACTCAAGTCTATGTGGTGCAACGTAGTGTTTTTTTTTTCTCTGTAGGCAAATAAAATAGAACATAAAAGGCAAGGGGACATGTCCCTTAATATTCCACAAAATAATTTAGTGCTCTTTAAATAAAATTAAAAACACTTGTCATATGGTGGCTCTTACAAAAAAGGAATTAAAAAAACTCACAGGCTGAAAGGATAATGCTCTAAGAGACATCAATTATATTAGGAAAGAACTTAAATTCAATGAAAAAAGACAGTATTGACAATAAAATTCTGTACAGAACGCAAAATCAATGTACAATACAGTACCTGCAGATGTTATGCATACAGTACAATTCTCTTTTTACATGGGTTTAGTATGGGCTCCAGCCTGATCTATATACTGACTTAACACAGGTGTCAAAGCGGCTATTTTAGCTTTCAGTAATTTTAATGGTTTTTCAGCGAGGAGAGTAGATCTTGTAGTAGGCAATTAGAAAAAGAGATTGAAAACATTATTGCAGGATGGTCATCTTCAGTTGCATACTGCATGTGTTACATGAATGTGTCCTATGACGAGGAGCAGTGGGCTGATGAGAGAGACAGAGAGAGAGAGAGAGAGAAATTTCGGACGGAAGAAAAAATAAGAGGGGGTTAGCTGTTTTTGCTATCTCTCTGTCAAAGAGGTTAATTCTTGCGCGGTCTCTCTGATCCACTACCCTGTACAGTACATTCGTGGCCAGTATTGCACGTTACCAGCCGAGTCCACCCTGATTCTGCACGGAGAGGACCTACAGTGCTGAATTTGTCCTGTGAGTCAACATCCAGTGATGAGATGAGACCGCGACCAGAGCTCACCGAAGACTGACTGGGACTCCATCTGTCGTCACAGTTTGAGCTCGTTGGCAATTTTGCAGGCGATGTTCTTAAAGGCGATGGACGTGCCCGATATCCTCTTGAAGCGCACGCCGTTGAGCGAGAGGCGGGGCAGCTTGCACACCTCCATCTCCCACTGGACCAGGTTGTCCTGGCGGGCGTCGCCGTGGACGCAGAAGAGCAGGAAGCGTTCGCGCTGCTCGTAGTCACAGCTGTTGGCGTCCAGAACCTTCCGGATCTCCCTCATCATCTCGGCGGGCTCCATGGAGGAGGTGGTCTTCATGCTCCAGGTGAAACGTAGCGAACGAGGCTTGGAGTCCCGACCACCGTCCTCTTTAGTATCACCCGACACACTCCTTCAGTGAGATAAGAACGAAAGAGCAGAGAAGAGGGAGACACAGAGAGACATTGAAGGAGGTCGAGGTTGGTTACAGGCTCTCGGTGAAATCTAGGTCCTCGCTCAATCTCTCACCTTGGTGTTTCTGTCCTGGCACTGGCCTCTCCCTCACTGGGCACCCTGAAATAAACCGGAAATACACTGTTACACCCACAAGCTGCCGCCAACACGTGTTCCCCCACCCACCCACTTCAAACAGCAGTCATCATCACTGGGCACAGAGAAGGGTGGCAGGCATCATGCCAGGAAAGAATCCACACTCCTGGGTTATCAGGGATCAGCACACAATGAGGAGACTGTGACGTTTCGAGACTCGTTCACAATGACCCAACGTATCCTACCGTCTACTGCGCTCTACCTTTCCTTAATCCCCACTGATCTGTAAGAAGAGTAAAAGTGGCTCTAAATCTTTACTCTTAAGTGCAGAATGAAAACGGGGAAAAGTAAGGAGAGGAAAGCCAGCGACCGGAGGAGCAGATATTGTGGCTTAGTAGAGGAGAGGCTGGTGAGCTTGTGAGGTTCGTTCTCGAGGCAGTGGACACACAGGAAGGAAATACACAACATAACAAGGGTGTCAGTAATCAAGGACGTGGTGTGATGGGCATAAGGGGGTTAAGGAAACAAGGGCCAAGGTCATAGTGGGCACAGAGTTTTGGTTTTTGGTTTTGTCGACAGGGGGGAACAGGTGCAGCAAGCGTTGTGTTCTCCTACCTCCGGGTTGACCTGAAAGACAGAGCTCTATGCAGAGAAAGAAGGAGAGAAATCTGTGAGCCTCTAACAGAAGGTCCAGCATCAAGGTGGACAAGGAGGTTGTGGCCTTTGCTTGTCATTTTAACAGGAAAGGGAAACAGTGTAGCAACAAGTACAATAAGATCTATAGATTGGGAAAAGGTAACGGCATGTATGTTTTCAAGACGCAGGAGGAGGATGAGATGCCTTCATATTTTTCACTGCTGAAAAAGTAAGTCAGTAAGTCATCTGAACACATATTGCACCAAGTAATACTTCAATCTCTCCGACAGTTTGGATTGGGGGAATTGTATTCTTTTTTTAAGCTTAACCAGAGACCGACAAATCCATGGATGATATTGTATGTCTCCTTGTCCACTTTGAAGCATGTCTGTAAATAGAAAATAGATATTTAAGATTTTAAATGAAAGCTGATGGAAAAATGTAAGTAAGATCAGTCATCCATCTTTAAGTCTAAACTGGCATCCCTGCACTTTTTTGGACACAATGCAGGAAGTTGAGACAGCCTTAGATAATAGAGAAGAAGAAGAAGCAGCTCGCAGGATGGCTGATCGTCTTCACCACCGATGACACAATGTTTGAAAGATGAGGACGTTCATTTTGCTGGTAGTAATATAATAATGATGTTACAGTAGCAACAAAATTAACAAAATGAAGCAGTTCATTCGTTTTCTCCATTCAAAAGGAAAAACGTTAGCGAATACAATACCTGAATTGACAACAAGTCAACAACAATCAATGTGGAGTAGAAGTAGAAGCAGCCCACATAGGTGATGATGACAGGACAAATGTTTGTCATATTAAAGTCTTTGGTCCGCTCCCTAAACAATTTGAAACCAACAGTAACTGGATCAAATGTTTACTATGTAACTAAGAGATGAATCTCAGGTAATTACTTACATTACCATCTAATATATGTTTGGACATAAATCAGAGACATAAAACGACTTCCATGAGTTTGTCTTAACAATTAGGAAAATAATAATTCCTTTAAATCCCAGCTATCTGTTTACCATTCTCATAAATGCAGGTATTTTTGTCACTTAGGAAGTATTAACAAACACACTTTGGCAATAATCCTTTGCTTTTTGAGAGAATCAGATGTTTACTACTTCAAGATAACAAGTGGAACGTGAATACCTGAACTGTGCAAGAAATATTAACTACCACCTAGAGTATCATCTGTGCAGCCGTTTGTCTTCACTGACCTGCGCACAAACTTGGAGGTGATCTTGCTGATGATTCCAGTGGAGGTGCCCCTGCGTTGCTGAGCGAGAGCCCCCGTATCATGGGACAGCGTGGGTGAGGCCGGGGGACCATTGTAGGTGGCGCTGCGTCGGTCTCTCAGCTGAGCTCCGTGGAACGTGCTGCGACTGGTGGTGCCACGAGGGAAGCGGTTCTTCTCTGGTGTGCTAATACTGTGTGCAGACGGAGAGGTGGAGGGACCCCGCGGAGAGGAGCTGCAAAGTAAAAGATTACAAGATAGAACACATGTGTCAGAATATGGTTCATATCATCATGCCACTAAGAAGTAAATTATATTGTCTGCTCCGTCATCTTTGCCACAAATAGACTTCAGCACGTCATCGTCCTTTAGCCTCTGTTATTAGAGATGGCAATGCCAGGGTCAGGCTGCCCACCTGGCTTTTAGCTCTGTGTTGTCATCGATGGGGGGCAGTGTGCTCTTTGAAGGATGCCCTGACGATGACATGGACTTAGTGTGACGAGGTCTTGTGGAGCTCATTGCAGTCGATGGGGTGCTACCTGACACCTCGGTTAAACTGAGGAGAAAGGGCAGAGAGTATTTGCACGCGAGCTGGAAATATTTCAACAAAACTCATTTACACAATGGGATTGTTAACAATGCATTATAACACCAAACAGAAAGTTAATCTGGACAAGAGATAAACAAGGAACATGCAGAGCTAAATCTCACCCTGTAGGTTGATGTGAATGTATTTGTATTTATATTTACCTGCTGTCTTTGCCGTTCGGAATAGCCGAGTATCGGTCAGTGGAGGATCGTTCACACACATATGTGTTCCTGCGAGTCATTGATCCATTGGTCTATTTGAGAAGTGAGACACCACAAAACATGTTTTGGATTTTGAACTGATTATTACTGAAACACGAGTAAAGCTAAGTTAGGGTTGGTAATCCTGGAAGAGGATACACTTTGAAAACATGCGACTGACACATCCCATCCCCTCCCAGCCATGCTGCCTGACAACTGCTAGAACTTCTGACTATCGTCTCTGCGTCAGCTGTGTTCTGCTTCAGCTACTGAGGACTCTAGTCATGTGAAGTGAGAGCACAGGCGGGATGTGCGCAGGCAGGCAGGTCAGTTAGTGACAGACAGGTACGGCAGCCAATCATTTCATTAGAGCCAAAGACAATGGCTTTTTTTCCTTTTCAGGTGACTTAATTTATTGATGGCTATCAGGACATTAAGAGGATTTCAACAAATAAAATAAAAAAGTGTTTCAGAAACAACTTACTAATCGTACTTTTAAGTACATGAGAAATTTTGTGAAGTGAAAAAACATAATATTATGAGGTACCTCTACTTTTGCTTTTATATATATTGAGACCTGTGTATGCCTGTTTGTTCATGTGTATGTGTTTCTTTGTGTGTCCTCTTCTTTCTCACCCCGACAGCACTCGTAGTTTTCTTCCTCTCCTGCACTCCCAGTGGTGAAGCAGGGACGTCTCCTTTCGAGGTGTTGAGCTCCAGCCGGCGAGCTCCGTCCCATTCCTCCCTGTGGTCACTTTCCACACTCAAGGCCTGGCCACGCTTAGTATACGATACTGCTGGGGGAACCGAAGGACCCACTGGGAGAGAGGAACACACAAACAGATTTAGGTACGTTCTCTTAAGCACATCTTTCCTTCTACATCTCAATGACAAGACTTTTAGACAAAAAAAGAACAGATAAGGACAATGACCTCATTACAACACCACTAAAAAGCCACTCAAAGCCAGGGATTACACACCATCCAGTCTGTCAGATATTAAACTCTGCAACAACAATTTGTTATAAAAATTGTACATCTACAGAAGCCAAGGGGAGCGGGTACAAGGCAAAGCTGTTCCCTCCTCATGCTTTGAGGTGCTGTTCTGAGGGAGCTGCAGGAAAGCAGCCAACCAGCAGATGGCGGCAGACACAATGGCCCCGT